GAGGGAGGGAGGGAGGGAGGAGAGAATGTTGTAATGCCCTGACGCCTCGAACAGGCGAAACTAACGAGATGCATTGCTAGAGCAGGTCGGCCCAGGGAGTCGGAGCATCGTCAGTTGAGGTATGAATGCAAGGATGTATTGAGGGTCCTTCGCCGTTAGCTCCTTGAACTCCCTCCAGTCCCCAAACGTGGATGCTGAACTTGTCACTCCCGAGCCTTAAGGCATTTGCAAAGAAAGGACAGCCTAGGACTCTGGAAGTTCAGTTGTGAAGTCACCTCTGGTCCCCAAGTGCTCCTGAGGTGCTTCAGGGAGCAGGGATACCTCTTCCCACTCAGATCTTTACCTCGCCGCTGGTGCGCTGTGTCGAGACGGCCGATTTCGTTGCGAAAGAGTTCGGCGTGAGCTCTTTGCAAGTGGAGGCACCTTCAGCCGTGGGCTGGGCAGGTGGTGTTGCGGGGTCCTATGGGTTTTCCGAGAAAGTCACCCAGCACTGCAAAGAGAGCAGCATGAGGCCAGCGCGTTCAACTCTAATTCAGTCAACAAGCACCAGCTAGAGCTTGACAAGGATTGGGCAAGTCACCCAACGACTCTCGTGTCGAGTCCGTGAGCTGGTTCAGCATGTTTCATATGGGTAGTTCTCCAAGTTAGGNNCAAATAGTACGGCACCCTTGCACAAAGGATCCTAAAAGGGACCCAGTTTAGAGAACTACCATGTCTTTACTCGATCCCCACCTCGGTAAGTTCTGAGTTCAAACCTTCATCGGTCTTGAAGCAGCAGTGCCATGAGTCGCTCGATCATATCATGTGGTCTGCCTGAGCATAGTCGGTAGGCAGACGATGTCACACATGGGCGAATGAGAGCTGCACGTGCCGCCTGAAACGATGTTTTTGCAGAACGGCCTGGCCGAATCCATCTACGAAGCGTGGATGCGGTGGCGTGGCGTGATTTTCGGAGTCCTGGCATTTTCCCTTCTTTTGGCTTCAAGAGTTTGACAGTCGCGAGTGTCCAAGTAAATTTTCTTCAGGGTGCTGCAGGTGGAACCTACAAGACTTCAAGCTGTTGCATTCTTGGCCCACACACTGGTCTTACTAGTAAGCCTTCTACAAATTCAGGCATGTCTCAATGAGTAAATACAGTACTATAGTTGTCTCTAGTTTAATTCGTTGTCCAGAATCAACTCTAACCTGAAGGTTGCAAACACATCCTTCAGCAACAAGGCAGTGGGCTGTGCCCGGTGCCAACTCCAAATGGGGTGGGCCACCCGGATGCGCAATCCCTCAGGACCTTACTGACTCCATGGAACGGTGTCGCTTGAACCTATTCAGGATATGTCGGATTTACGGTGTGCGAGTTGTGTCATTGGAGATGCGTTGTGCGTGGGTCCATATTACTGAGATTCTCGGATTGCAACATACATCTTCAGAGTTGTCAGTTCAAGTTTAGCATTGCAGATGCCCAGCAGTAAAGGTTCGCTATGTCAGGGGTGCATGCATCTAGGCTTGGAAACTTGCGCTTTGTCGAGCATTGTGCAAGGTTTGTGTCATGGCATCACAGGGCGGATTTTGATGCGGGCATTGCCATTCAAAGCCCTCTGCACAGTGTTGTTAGATTCGGCATCGCCCCCCGCAGCTCCCGACCATGAGTCCAGGAGCGTCAGGGCATGGACCCTCGGAGGCTACGTGGGCCACAAGTTCCACATCCCGAGCTACGACCCGAAGCCCTCTCAGGCCTTTGGATACCGGGTTTTTCCATGAGGTTTAGGACCGTGGGTGGGCAACGTCAGATCCGCGGGCTGCATCTTCAGATCAAGCAAGAGGGCTCCCGAACTTTCAGTTCCCACACGCCGCTGGGGGGATAGAGAATCTGACGTTAAGGCTTCGCTCATGCTGGACAGAGGTGCACATAATTATGGACATCGGGCCGCACAGACTGCCCGCAAAAAGGGCTTCCGAAGTTTCCGTTTTTTGAAACTTTTGGCTTAGATTAGAATGAACATTGTTCTTTTTACCGATGTTAGCCATAAAGCAGCAAAGAGGAGGACAGTCCCACAGGCATCTCTGTCAGCATCTCAGCATCAGCTCCTGCTGACTCGAACCCCAAACTGTGAGTTTCAACACATACCTCCCGAACCTTTGGCTTGGCCGAACCGAGCTTACTTGGATCCTTCCCCTGCGCACGAGCATAGTCCCATAGGTATCGTACAACATCTCAAAACCACGTTTATCTTTCGTCACCTCTTGCGGCTCAACAAAGGAAGGAGAAATAACACAGTTGCCTCTGTAGGGTCCTGCAAGTGCGACCGTCGAACTCCCTTAAAAACCCTAGGCCCTAGACCCCCAGCCCAAGGCACTGAAACGCTGCTTTCCACGGCTGCCGACCTCCAGAAGGCGGGTTGGAGCCGAGTCGATGGGAAGTCTCAGAGCATCGTGCTGCTGCACGACGCATGGCCGATCCTTATGGCCCTTATGGGCTTGATGATGATTTCTTGTGGGGTTTACAAGATTTGTAAGGATTTGGCACTCATTGTACAAGGGTCTGTGTAGGGTTTAGATGGGCTGTTCTAGGGCAGATTCTAGGGTTTGAAGATTTGCCTGGTTGGGGTTCAAGCCAGGGCGTAAGGTGGTGGGTGCAGGTGGGAGAAGATAGAGAGCTTCTTGCTTCGGAAGCTCAGGCTTGTGTTGTACTGCGTAGGCTTCAGATGTATGTACCAGACTCTTTGGGCTGTCTTCTTGCTGGAATGCATTCCGACTTCATTGATGTCGTGCCATAGAAAGCCAGGAACATAAAGCCATGATGGATTGCAGCGTGATTTGCAGGACTGTTGGGGCCGCCGAACTGATCGAAGACATGTGCTTCTCTTGTAGGCCTCAGCTTTGTCCTCAGCTGTTTGAACTACCAGTGAGTCCCCTAAATCCTATCTCTCGAACATCATCTGAAAAACTGATCAGAGCACGTGTCGGACCGGGCATAGCTGTGACTGGAGCTGTTTGGAAGAATTGTGTGTATGTAATTGTATACATATAAACTAGTTCCAGCAAGATTTACAATTTACCAATAGCAGTAAAGAGAATAATTGACACAGTATTGAACATAAATTAGTAAACGCGACAACAATGATGACATTACTTCTAGGTGATACTGTAGTAATAACAGTAACGGCAACAATGACAACACTACCAAGAATAGCAAGAACTAAGGACAAAGGCTATTGCTGGGACAACTTTGAGATTCACGAGGAGGTGGTGGAGCGCCTCCTTAGTGTGGCCCGACGCCGGGCCTTGGAGCACGTAGGGGAAGCACAGCTGCACTGAAAGCGGGTTTCGGGTTTAGGGTTTAGGGTTAAGGGTTTCGGAATCTGAGGACGTTGGTTGCAGATGTGTGAGCTTTAATCGATCGGGAAAGAGTGAATCTACAAGGCAGGCTGGAAGCTCGACTGGGTTTTGATTTTGTGCTTGTGCCACAGGCAATCCGACTGAATTTCGAGCACAGAGTCCTAGAAGCTGATCGCATGAGATAGCATGTTGTCGCCCAGGCTGTTCAGGGTCTGTTCAACCCTGAGGAGGCTTTGGCTCATTCCAAGGTTTCGAACCCCCTAACAGTCCTCTCTTATATATATATATATTTGATTGTCGATTGTATATTATATAGTATAAACGCAACATACCATAAAATAGTATATTACAATATATTGCACTATATTCCAACATCTTATAATATCCTTTTTTGAGAGCAGTGAAAGCAGAGCCTAAGCCCAAGGAGACGGTTGTCTTGGTTTCCCACGGTGGACCGACGACGTATGCCTTGCGGGCATTGTCACGCCAGAAGCCCAAAGGCAAGACCTATGATGTAGACGGGTTCAGGTCCCATGCGGTGGAGATTAACTTTCTTTGGTTCAAAGGGTTTCTTTCTTTCGAGAGGGGGGCAAGTCGCTAAAGGTTTCATGCCTCCGGAGCCCGAAATGCGAAAGTTATGAGCTACTAAATGGGCCTTCACCGGAAAACCCTCGGCAGGATGGGTGTCAGATTCCATGACGTCGGAATCCATCCTTCACTAGACCCCTAGGCTCCGCCGACCACATTCACTCGACTCCTTCGGCTTTTTTCATGGTACCGTTGCCGTTGTGCGCCAACCATATAATCAGCAAACCTTGCATTTCTGCGCAGTCCCCAGACCACACTGTAAACTGGCAGAGGGGAACATCCTCGCAGATATGTGTAAGAAATCTGAGCAGCGGAATTCTTCCCCGAAGGTGCAACATCCAGCAAAGTTTGCTCAGCCGTAGAGGCGAAGGCGGCATGACGGCTCTGTCGATCCTCCGCGCGCTTCCGGACGATATCGAGAGTGGGAGGCCGTGGGAAGTGCTGCTGTCGAACGACGCGTCCCATGGCCAGGCGGGAGAAACGTGTAAAGAGGCCAGACCAAAAGCACTGTTGTAGACAAAACCTCCTACGCTCCTACAGAGCCACAAGACGTCGGAAGCCAGCAGCACGAAATCAGAGACTTGAAGACAGCTTCTTCTTTGGGAAGCCGGTGCTTGCCAACTGTCTCGGACATTCGTCGAGAAGTAGGTCAGGCTTCTCCAGGCTGGGGCCAGGCATTGACATCAGTTGCCAGCAATTTAAGTCCAGAAACATAAAGAGGCAGGTCAGGTGGCGGGCAAAGCACCTCAGCCAACTTGCTCTGTTGACGCTTGTGCATGCTTTTGCGTCATCAGGCCTTTGCACACGGCGAGGAGACAAAGATATGATGGCACCGTCATGCGGTGAAAAAGGGATGTGCATGCTGCCTGGCGACTTTCCCCGCCGAAGCTGTGGAGAATGCTGAAGCCCTCGGAAAAAATCTAGCCGTTTCCAGCTGCAGCGATCCATGTCCATGTACCGTCGTGGGCTCAGTCTCTGACATCGGAAGCCTTTCCGGGTACCTGCTTGTGAGGGTATGTTCCCAGTTCCCGGCTAAAGCCGAGCAAGAAGAACCTGTCACAGAGTTTCTGTCTTACTCCACTTATCCTACCAAGGAACGAGCTAAAGCAGCCTTCAGAAATCAGCGGCTACGCTTGATGTTATAATATAAGCTAGAACCCTAAGCCCTGGAGTCCTGCCTGCCTTGTGCGCGAGGGAGAACCGAAGCCCCTTAAAGCAGCAACCTGAGACCAGTGCAAGTCCTGAGAACTCGGATCACTGAAGCAGCCAAGCGAGGGAGGAGCCTCGGAGACCAATAGAATAGTGTAGCAAGTTATAGTATGTTATAGGAGGTTATACTATATCATACTCAGTTTTATGATAACATATTCTGTTAGACTATATTATACTATATATCAAGGCGTGAGCCAAAGTGCCATGTCAGATGCCTCCTCACTCTTCGATCGTCCAAAGTAGCTCGGCCTGCATCGGGTTTGAGATGCACAGAATTGAGTTGAAAGTCGGGATCAAGCATCACAAGAAATCACGAAGGAAACTTCTGCTACGGGTTCAATTCAGCAAATGTGTAGCCTTTCTTTGAAGGATGTTCAAGATCCCCGGCGCTGTTGCCATTTGGGCCTCGGAGGCTTTCAATTTCTCCTGGCTGGTGACAGGTGGGAGCTGACTCCGGTTCAGCAGATCACCGTGGCGGCGCATGCCAGGGAGCTTGGCAACGAGCAGCTGCGGGCCGGAAAGCACGAGGAGGCGCTGCAGCGCGTAGCAGCCATAGTCAGGTCTTAGAAGCTAGAGTTATCTATGTCGTCGTGGCCTTGTACACTGGCATATCTTTAAGGTTGCTCTGGGCAACCGGACATGGGGTGGGGTAGGGTTTGCTTGCGTCAAAGATTGCTTCAACGAAGCAGGCCTTCCAGTTGTACAAGAAGGCGTTGTTCTTGGTCGAGTTCGACGAGGACCTGCCATGACCCTCTTTTTCGATCCCAAGGCACTTTAGAGTCAAGACCAGAGCTGCTCAGGTGCAGCATGCAAGCATACCTCAATAGCAGCGCAGAGCATTAGCTGCAGATCAGCTAATGATGATGGACACTCACACATGAGCAAGACGGCTAAAAGAGTGTATTCAAACTCCTGTAGCATGCACCGAAATCCTTTGTCCACTGTACCCGTATAATTAGTGGCAGTCTGTTATAGTCGTCTTGTAGTATATACTGAAGCCCCCAAAGCCTGCTCAGCTTGTGTGAAGAGGGCCCAGAGCCCAGAGCTTCGAGGACCTAAAAGCAATTCACCCCGAAACCACTCCAAGGAAACAGAATGCTTAGGGCTGAGGGCATTTGTCCGCTCACCACTAGCTTAGCCTAAGCCCTCGGAACCCTCGCAGAGCTTGAAAGCTGTAAATCATGTAAAACAAAGAAGATTGAGCAAAAGGATTCCTAGATCAATATTGCTGCTCGCATGGAGAAGGACTTCCAAGAAGACGACGAGGACGAGGATCCTCGTCCGCTCCCCCCACTGCAAGAAGTCTATGCCGAGCGCGAGCGGTGTGCCTTGTTCTGATTGTGCGACTGTTGAGGGCTTGTCAGATACGCTTGCCGTCTCTGTAGCACAGTTCTCGGATCAACCGTGGCAGACTCTTCGTGGACGTCACCGAGTCACCAATAGTGATTGGTGCCAAAAGCGTCCCAACCTTAATGCCCAAGGTCTCGGGAACATTGCGGCCTCTGCTCTGCTACTTGCCTCGGCAAGCTCCGAAGAGGAGCGCAAGCGCGAGGAAGGCTTTGCAGGCTCCGAGTCACTGGCTACTTTACGCTGTCTTAGTTATCTTACAGCTGCACAAGTTTTGATTTTGAATGTCACACGCATACATGCAAGCATATAAACAAACATAGATGTACACACACACACTTATACATATACACACAAATGCAGATCTGTATGTAGGTATGTAATGTAATGTAATGTAATGTAATGTAATGTAATGTAATGTAGTGTAGTGTAGTGTAGTGTAATGTAATGTAATGTAATGTAATGTAATGTATGTAGGTATGTGTACATGTGTGTGTGTGTGTCGGTGTGTCGGTGTGTCGAGTGTGTGTTTCCTTTTCGTGTCCGTAGCAAGTGAGAGCCTACAGGCAAGGCAAAGCGGTACTCGGACCGAGCGCTGCGCTTGAACGCGGGAAGCGCTAAGTTATGGCGCCCCGACAGCAAGAGAGCGTTTCCATCAAAACCAGATGTTTGGCAGTCTCTTCAGCCACATGAATCAGAGCAACCTCAGGTTTCGCAAGGGGCGGGCCGAGATGATGATGACCGATTTTACTGCAGCATTGAAAAGCCTTACCGAGGCCGTCCGGTTGGCGCTGCTTTGTAGCAAGAAGCCATCGCAGAATTGCAGTGGGCTCATGTGCGGTGGAAGTGAGGCCAGCGGATCCTGAAGTCCGGAAGTACTGGGAGGAGGCGTGTTCTCCGATCGTCCAACGCATCAGAGGGATCAGCTGGATGGAACAAGCGGCTTTGCCCTCAGGCGAAATCCGCTTGCAAGCTGGCAGAAGGTTCTCATCGCGCAGCGGTGAAAGCGATGGGCAGTTCTGCTCTATGGCAGGATGCCCAAGTGGACCGGAGGCCAGCTGTTAAGAGTCCCAGTGCTTACATGAGGTTTGCCTGTCATTCACACATGACTGAAGCTTCCCATGGGCCGCAGGAGTGGGGCCAAGCCTCAAAAGGGCTATGAATCCGAGCAGGCAGGTGTCAGCTTGCAACAGTCTTGTGGGGTACTGGGTATTGTCCAGGAAAGAGCAGCTCAGATCGAATACAACAAACGCCAACTTCTGTTTCACATTGAGAGAAACAAGAAGAAGCCAGACGATGATGAAGACGATTGCGACCAAAATACAGAATTGTAAATTTGTCGGCAAAGAGAACGACATGGCGAATATCTGAATATTCTGAAAGATTACTTATATGCAGAAAGATGGTAGATTACGGAATATTTAGAATTTCCAAAATCAAAAGTAAAAATAAATTTCTTGAATATAGTTTCTATTGAAATCTTTTTTCGTTTTGCTTTGAATATATTTTTTTCAGAATCAGTTCATATTGAATCCGTTGAAATATTTTGCTAGGGTTATCTCAAATTGATATTAAGGCTAGATTGATTTCTATAAGTGGTAGTATATGAATTCTCTTGATCTGTTATTTGATTGTTTTCGATCTAGATAGCTAGGTACTTTAAGACTCGTTTTCTCTCTAAATTTCGCAAGTTAAAATTCTTATATTGAAATTTAATTGAAAATTTCAATATTAGAATTTTTTGATATCTTATTTTGTGTTCTTTTTTTCTATTTGGTTGAGAGGTAAGGGTAGAGGTATGAGAATTTCTATTCTTAATTTATAAGACGAAGAAGATAAGAGAGAGATATTTTCTAATAATTATCCTTTTTTTTCTATAGGGTAGCGTTTAATGATATGTTTAGAGGTCGATTCTAAAATCGTCATATTACTGATCCGAGAATTTTTTCGTTTAGATTATTTTGATTTCGATAGGTTATTTAATTTGATTTTTTCTTAGATTTAATGGCTCTTTTTATTCGATATTTTATTATTTTCGTTATAATATAGATTTAGAAAATTATTTTTAATATATGGTTTTTGTGGCTCGCAATGATTTAGAGGGGGATAGGTGGCGTGCGGTTGGAGCGGTTCTATGCTTTTTGTCTCTAGCCTTGCCGAAAGAAAGAAGATTTATTTATGATATGATTATATAATTTCTCATTTAATTTGAATTATTGGGTTTTTATTAAATAAAAAGAATGGAAGAATTGAAAAAAAGATGGTATTATTATATTTAGAAAAAGCTTTTTCTGTTCGTTAAGAGGGGAGGTTTTAAATTGGATTTCTAATATCGTCTTATTGATTAATTTTAAATCTGAGATTATCGAATTTTCATTCGAATTTCTGAGATAAGTATAATTAGATTAGACTTTTAACATTAAGATCGAAATTATTCAAAAAGGCAACGTATATGATATTATATACTATTGTTGTGGGGAGGTCACGACAGTCCAAATTTTTAAAATTGATTATTTCAAATTTCCCGGTCATATTTGTCTTTCGCCCGAAATTTGGAGACAAATCTTGATATGTCGCACTTGCTAATCGGCGGTACACGGATCATAAGATTCGGTAATATAGACCGCATTCCAGATCAGCGGCACGAAGTGAAATATTATTATGATAGAAATTTATTTCTTTCTGAAGCTGAATTCGAAATTTTCGATAATTTCCTATTCTTTCTCTGCAGAAATGGAATGAAATGACTCCGCATTAATGAATTTCTTGTGACATCATTATATTTCATACTTTTCTTTATAGATCAAATTAAGATAAAATTTTTTCTTAATTTTTTTGAAAAAAGATCAGAATAATTTTTATCCATTTTATATTAATTCGAATAACCATATAAATATTTTATCAATATGAAAGTTATGATAAAATAAAATTTACAAATTAATATTCATATTAATTTTGATAGAATAATAAAGTGGTAAATTACAATATTTCGACATATTTATATATTCGAATATTTATATATCAATATAGAAACTCAATTTTTCTATAATATCATAATTATTCGAAATCAATAGAAAATATGAAAATTAGTTTTATTACTAAGATTTCTATTAATATCATTTTAATTCTATATATCAATATTAATAGAATAATTAATAAAAATCATATCTTAAAAATAATATAATAGCTACAATTCGCAAATATATTTATAGTATGACATTCATCCATATTATCTTTGATCTGTATAAAAATCTATATTCATAT